TTTAAGTATGGAAACATTTTAAAAATTGAATCTCCCGAGAAACAATTTAAAATTCATCGATTCTAATAAAAGTTTGCGGAAGGTTGCTGTGTTGAAATATGGTCTTCTGATTTAACTTCGTCCAAGTTAGGCTATGGATACAGCTGTAGCTGCAAACGACATCCAAATGATCTTCTTTCAGTGCCCCACTTTGCCGACAATAACAGGAAAATTTCAAAAAGCCGTGATTAATCGCTTCTGAAAAGTTTCTCCCAAAGTTTCCAGTAGCTGACACAATTATTCATTGCCTCTTGAAACCCTAATAAGTACATTTGTTTGTCGACTACGTACACAGTGGAACAACAGCAAGTGAAAGTTTTGATGCCTTAATATCAAACAAGCAACTACGCTGCTATAAGAAATTCATTTTAAAAAGTCAAAAACCAAAACGTTTTTGCCAAACTGATATGGCTTAATACTCTAAAAAGCTATTGTTACAGTGACAGCAAAACTTATCTCCAGTACAGCTAATCAAATTTTTTTAAAGACACGGTATCTTGAAAATTGCTGGATCTCTTCATCAAAGTATACTCTACTAAAATTTTGACCAACAAGTATATTTGAATTTTTCAGATGCTGTACTTGATGCTTTAAAACATACCTGAAATATCTAAACTTTTTAAGAATTGATTTAATACTAACCGTATCACTTCTTTCTCAACGCTTCTTTAACGAGTTCTGTTTCTGTTTTCAACTTCTGTTCTGCACTCCTCAACTTTTCGTTCCCATTCTTCTTCGGTAAGTTTTTTGTATTTAGAGCTTTTCTGAAATACAGCAAAAAATGACTGTAACAGAATGCTGAAAACTCAGAACAGTATATCTGCCAGAGTTACATTCGGGAAATATTAAAACTACTCGGCCGTCACGCTAAACTTACCTTTTTAGAATGAAGTTCTTCCAAAATATTTGAAAATTCAGGCCTGTTATTTTTATAAAGATTCAAGCATTTTTTGATCAGGTTCCCGATTTCAGTCAGTGCTTTTTTGGGTATGGGTAATTTATATCTCCTAAAACATTGCTTTTTATTCACTGCGATAATGATTTCTTTTTTTCATTACAAGAGATCGAATAAACACGGACTCAGTTCTTGCAATTTTCATAATATGAGTGAATCTTATTCCGTAGTGCGGTCGCTGTCCTATAATTACCTCCCAAATTGTAACACCGAAACTCCAGACATCAAGCTAGAATTGGCTGAAGTTATGATGCTGTCTAGAATGAAAGGGTGGAAGAAATGTCTTCCTATCAAACAAAAAAAAAGCTACAATTTTAAAACATTGGCCACTTATTCAACAGAAAAACAAACTAACTTTTTTGTCACAGTGATCACGTTCTACCATTTCTGGAGCCATATAGGCGTAAGTGCCGCACGCTGTCATAGTTCCACTTTGTGATCCATCATCCCACTTTCGAGAAAGCTCGTGTCCGGTTATTTTAATTATGTGTTCTTCAGTTAAAAAAATACTGGAAAATTTGAATGTTAAATCTATTCATAAGTACTATGATTTCATTAAAAAATTTTACTTTGCTGGCTTCAAATCGCGATGAATGACGTTTTCTGAGTGGAGAAAATTCATTCCATCAGCTATCTGCATAGCCCAGTTGTAAAATTCTTCTTTTGTAACTTTATGATTTGCATCCAACAAACCCCTAAGAGATTGCCTTCCAAAGTATTCCATTACTATACAGTAATTTGGTGGCTGACGGCAGACAGCACTGAAAAGTTATTTTCAGTGAGATGTAAATATTGGAGCAAGAGGACTATCTAAAGTAAGGCATTTTTTGTTTGGGCAAGAACAATAAATTTTTAATGATTTCTTCATTTAAATGGTATTGTCTCTAAGTTGTTCTGAAATTTTAAATGTTTTGTATTAGTTTTATGTAAAATAAAATAACTGTTTTAAAGAAATAGTCAATAAAAAATATTTTTATTTGGTCATCACCATCAACTTTTAAAGGAAAAATTGATACATTACATAAATTGCAAAAATTTTGTTGACTGCAAAATTCTGCTAAAAAAAAAAAACAATAACAGTAGCAAAAAAAACTGCAAAAAGAAGTTGTCTTAAATATTATTTAATGTACCAACAAATGTTCAGAACTGCCTACAGAAGCTCCACCAAATTCTGATGCCTCAGTCCAAAAAGATGATCAATTTCAGTCAATTTCAGTGTCCAACCTCCTCTTAACCGTTTTTACAGCAACTATTCTTTCATTGAGCGTTGCTTCATATATGGGTTCTTGTCGGTTATCAATTAGCTGCTGTATATTTATTGATTGGAGCTGTATTTCGAAAGCACTTTCTGAAAGTTTGAAATTTGACAAGGATGCTTTCTGAAAACATTTCTCTTCAGTCTAAATTCAGTGGAACTAACTTTTATACAGCAGATAAAACAGTTTAATTTATGGTTGCTTATAACGTAAATATTAATAATTGTGATTGGATTCTGTAAAATTCTGTAAAACAACGAAGATGATATTTGGAAATATGCTAGGAAATTTTGTTAACTGTTACTTTTGATAAAACCAATGCAAAAATTGTTTTAATTGTTCGGTTAGCAATTAAATATTACGATTAATCTTTTGACAGGTTTGTTTTGATAATCATTGTTTTGCTCAGGCATAATTGTAAGCGAATATTTGAGGTTCAATATGAGGTAAAGAGATTACAGTAAAATAGTCTTTTGAGAAATAATATTGGCAGTTGCTAGAAAAAAAATAGCGACTGAAAGATACAGTCTTCTTGATCACAGACATGCCTCAAACTTGATAAGAATGCCCTACCAAATAACTTTTAAATTCCAAACATATTATCTAACTAACCTGCAGGTCCGCTGCTTTCACAGGACATTTTTGATAGTATTTTTCAGAATTCTGAGAGAAAAGGCGCAGCCAAAGTTTGTAACGATGTTATTGATTCATCGTTGAAATTGGCTCTCTCTTCATTCCCATTAGTCATCAGCATATCAGTAAGTGATAACAAGAGTTGATTACTTTTTGGCATGAATTTTTCGCCACCCTCCTCAACAAATGCGGAAAATTTGCCGCTGTAAGTCAAGCAAGTATATTTCTAGGTTAGGTTAAAAATATTTTGCGATTTGTTTCAAGAAGTTCAGATAAGTGAGATAGCTATTTGTATTTTTTTAATTCTAGATTTTTAAAATGCGGCATTTTCCAATAAAGATTTTAGTCTTTTTCTAATACTCTCCCAATTACTTTGCCAAAAAAAAAATATATTTTTCTGAAAGCAAACTTTTTAAATTTACTATTTAGACAACTTGCAATTTAAAAGAAAACATTTTCACAAACAAACTTTATGTTCTTCCTATGAATGTTGCAGAGCATACATAAATTATGATATATAATCTTCCCTAAAATTTAAACAAACTTCAACAGACATTGTAATTTCATCGGTTGTCAAATGCGGAACAGATATCTTACTCCCTTCAAAAAATGCAATTATTTTACAATTTTCCTCTACAATGCAAAAAAGGTTTGCCAGTTTTTTTTTATAGAAAATGTAAAGTAAACTTTCCAAGCTTTTCTTCATTTTTATAAAATAACTAATACGACAGTGTTTGAAGTCATCAAATGACAATTTGCTGCAGCTAAGAAGACTGTGTATTTAACGAACACGAGGTAAGTAGTTATGTCCAACAAATTACACCATTTTACAAGTGGTATAAAAAAAGCATGTAAATACATGCGTAGTAAGAACTGTGGTCTTACTGCAAATTAGTTCGTAAAGATAGTTAAAGTAATACTTTTGCATACAGATAACACAAAAATTCAAAAATTGGAAACTCATAGACTGGAAGAAATATCCAAGA